ATATACAATATTATCTACAGCGTACACTATCAATTCACATTCAATATATGAATTTTTATCGTAAATTTTATGCAAGATGCTTATCGCATCACACTTGTTATTTATACAGTTTTGGCGTAAATAAGTCACGAAATATTTAAACTTTTCGCTCACACCGTTTGTATATTGGCATAGTTCACAATATACGTGTTCTACACATTGCTCGAGTTCGAGCATGAAAAGTATAGTTGACGGTTTCATGTATAAACACTTATTACACAAAGATAATTTCACGTTGTCCACATCATGTATTTTGACAAGTTCTATTTGAAGCCCCTGAATCACTAATGATGATGATGGAGTAGGCGACTACATCAATTGCTCGATATCCGCCCGTTTTTTGACAAATGCCCTTAACATAACTTGAGGCAGGACGATGCGGTTTCTTCGGGTGTCGCCAATAGTAATTTCCACGTAGGAAATAGGTCCCACAGCGATCCCAATCTCTAGAAACTTGTACGCTGTCGGTGCCAATGCGAATATTCTTCTCAAAATTATACGAGAAGACGCGTTGTAATGAAGAAGAACAAACGAATGAGTAATATATAGAGAAAACCTATATCAGAAACTATAGATAGATATATATCAGAAGATATATATCAGAAACTGAATTTTTCGTAATTTCCTAGCATTAGAAGTAGTATTAATTATTTGTAGGAAGGGCACGTATAGTTTTGACGCCTGAATTGGAAGAAGAGAGGAGGGAAATCCCGCTCATCCAGCTCTCGTCGGGTGAGTTAATATTTTTAATATAGAAATAATTTCTAAAGTGAATAATATAAATCAATTGATAAAATCTTAATATGATAATTATAAGGTTCCGTATGTATAAAACAATATGACAATTAAAAAGGGCATAGAACCAATCTTTAAACAAAACGTATTTAATTAAATCAAATTAAAATCTCTAGATACAAACGTTTCGACTCCGATCGGGTCATTTTCAATGTTACAAATTTTTGTCATGAATCTTAACTCCTCTTTATAATCTCATTAATAGGAAATAAATATGACTAAATAAAACATTACATAAATTCGCACGCGTAATCTTGTCGTTGACATAAAAAGCGCAAGTTGTCCATTATAAATTAATTTAAGTTGCGAATAAATTCATATCT